TCCTCCCACCGTCCAAAAACCTGCATGTTAGGTTGTTGGACTCCAAACTGCCCTTAGTGTAGTGTGTGTGGGTGTTGGTCCTTGTGTGTCTCTGTGTGTCCCTGTGATGGACTGGGGACCCCGCCTCTCCCAATTGGCTACTGGGATAGGCTCCAGTTCTCCACCGGGACCCCATTAACTCATTGACTGAGAGAGTTTTTTGAGCATTTTGACTAATTTTTCAAGAGCCACAGAATAGTTTGTGCTATGACTATGTAAACACCGAACACACCAAAAGAAAGAGTAGACTCTCTTCTTTCATCAGGAAATTTTTTTTGTTTCTACCTTATTCCGTTCTTCCTGGACTTGCGTCTCACCGGCGACATGTTCTCTCATATCGAACCGTTCCCTTTTTCTTATTTGCCTACAGTCTATGCTCATCTCCCATCAAAAGTGGCACTGCCCCCTAGAGGGTCAATTTGTTACTACATACTCTGTCTAGAAGCCGATGTTTATGTACAAGCTTTAGCAGATCGTCCCCCAGCCACTCTCGTTTAAAAACATAAAAGACGTCTATAGACGTCTTTGGCAGCCAGTGAGTTAAGGGATAAGGGGGTGGGATGATGGATGGATGAATGGAGTTGAATCAAAAAGAGAGACAAACCTGTACTTTTAACTCTAGCTCTCGTATCTGGTCCTCCTTTAACTTGATGTCCATTGTTAACTTTTTACACTCTGTTTCTAACTCGGTGATGCGCCTCCGGAGCGTGTCCGTGCACTCGCCCCTGAGGAGAGAGGGAGAGGATTAAATAATTGAATTGAATTAATTTGACATCTTAATGAGGAAATATTCATATTCTATACCAGTGTTTTTCAACCACTGTGCCTCGGTACACTAGTGTGCCGCGAGTGATGGTCAGGTGTGCCGTAGAAAATCATCCTATTTCACCTAATTGGTCTAAAAAGATTTTTCGATAAGGAATTAATTATCTGCAAATAATTTTTGAGTGTCTGTGCTGTTCTAGTGACTGGTGGCGTAATCATGTAATAATTCCTCATGACTAGATTTTGTATTTAATTTTGCATATTGAAGTGGACATGTTAAGAGCAGTTTGAAAGAAGAAATATAAAATATGATAAAAATACATTTTTGTGTTTATTTGATTCCTATTCAAGACACTTAAGATAAGATAAGAATAACTATAGTGTTACTGCCTCTCTCTGTTCCCTCTCTCCTTCTCTCTCTCTCTCTCGCCCTTTATCTCTCTCTCTCTTGCCCTCTCTCTCTCTCACCCCCAACCAGCCGAGGCAGATGGCCGCCCACCCTGAGCCATGGTTCTGCTCGAGGTTTCTGCCTGTTAAAAGGAAGTTTTTCCTTGCCTGTGTCGCCTAGTGCTTGCTCATGGTGGGAATTGTTGGGTTTCTGTAGTTAACTTCAGAGTAGGGTCTGACCTGCTCCGTTTGGAAAGCTGTTAGACAACTGTTGTTGTGATGTGGCGCTATATAAATAAAATTTAATTGAATTGAATTATAGGTGGCTACAGATTTGTTTAACATTTTTGGTTGGTGGTGTGCCTCGTGATTTTTTTCAATGAAAAAATGTACCTTGGCTCAAAACAGGTTGAGAAACACTGGGTGAGAGCAGCTTTTACCTGGAGGCGGCTGCTAGCGCTACGGCCCGGGCTGCCGTGGCCTCCTCCAGCTTCTTTCGTTTCTTCTCGTCTGTGAGCTGCTTTTCTGCGGCGGCCCGGGCCTCCTGCTCCGCTTTCAGCCGCTTCTCCAACTGCCCCACGGCCTGTTTGTCCTTCTGCTTGGCCTGCACCGCGTTATGGAGCCTGAAGGGGAACACAACAATAAACTTAGACGGGAGGAGAAAAGGAACTGAGACTGGATGTTAGGGATCCGATCCCGGCCTATCAGAGCATGTAATAAAGTCTAAAGTTATTTATCTACTTACTTAGTTGTCAGACTCATGTTGAAAAAGGAGGTTTTTCCTTGCCTGTGTCGCCTAGTGCTTGCTCATGGTGGGAATTGTTGGGTTTCTGTAATTAACTTCAGAGTCCGGTATGACCTGCTCTGTTTGGAAAGCGCTGTGAGACAACTGTTGTTGTGATGTGGCGCTATATAAATAAAATTTAATTGAACTTCCGATAAGATCCTGGCCTATCAGAGCATGTGTAAAGTTATTTATCTACTTACTTAGTTGTCAGACTCATGTTGAACAGGGATTTACTCTGATAACAACTAGCCATCTGACTAACTCACACCGTTTGGTAAAGAGACACTGACCTGTTTATTTAGGGATAAACACAAAATGGGATCAAATAATCCCACAAAACATGGCCGTCTTAAGGGTTAGGACACAGAGCTGTGGGTCAGGAGATGCTAATGCTAATGCTAATGCTAAAGGGTGTGCTGGAAAATGACTGGACTGGATATTAGGGAACAACACAGCAAAGTGGAATCGATTATTTTAAATCAGTGTGCTGGAAAATGGATCAGACTTTTTTTAAACTTCTCCTGCTGGCCGATACGCATTTCTTTGCAAATATCAGCAGCCGATTTGATCCAGATATCGGATCAGAGCAAACCTAGTTTCTAATGACTTCAGCCATTTGATCTCTCATTTGCAGAAGCGTCTCTGACTGAGTGCCTGTCTTTTTTTTCCTGTCTTACAGGAGCTTAAGAAATATAAGGAAAATGAAAAAGACACAGATGTGCTGAACAGCCTGGTGCATATGGGTGCTTTTTATAAATATCAAAGATTTATATGGGAGTCACCCATTCAAAAGTCGTCAGTTTGAGGGCTTAAAGTGAAAGTTTTAGGAAAGTTTAAGGAGAAAGAAGCAAACAAAAGGAATTAAGTCACACTATTTAAAGAGGCACTGTATCTTAGCTGGTCAAAGTTAGCTGGTCTCTCTAGTAAACAGGAGATCTTGGGTTCAAATCCCAGCAGTGCCTTGCTTCTCCAATAAGATGTGTAGATCTGTATACAGTGGGGGAAATAAGTATTTGACCCCTTGCTGATTTTGCAGGTTTGCCCACTTACAAAGAATGCCTATTTTTCCTCATCAGATAGTTAGCAATTTTTATAAATTCATATGATGCGATTGTCTGGAATTTTCTTTGGGATTCTGTCTTTCACTGTTAGAATGTACATATGATTAAAGTTATAGATCGTTGCATTCTTTGTAAGTGGGCAAACCTGCAAAATCAGCAAGGGGTCAAATACTTATTTCCCCCACTGTAGCTGAGTGGTCGAGCATTTTGCTACAGATCAAAAGGTTTCCAGTTCAACTCTCAGTATCCTCCGACTTTGTGAATCACTTTGGATAAAAGTGCATTTATGCTAAATGCATAAACATAAGCAACATAAACATGAACTGGTCCCCCCCCAGACTAAGGGACCAGGGTTTTTGGGGGTGTTTCCACTCACTTGCTCTGCAGCAGCTCGTTCTCCTGGCGCAGCTGGCCCAGCTCTGAGCGAACGTTGCGCTCGGCGCTGCCCAGAGAGCCGATCTGGCTGCGCAGGTCCTGCTCCACCTGCCGGCTGGCCTGCAGGTCCGCCTTCAGCTTCTTCACGTCCTGCTCCAGCCTGCACACCA